TCTAGATCTCTACAGCGAGGTCCCAAGTCCTGGTAATATTACCAGACAGAGTGAAAAAGTATTTCATATCCCAAACCAACCCGTCATCAATATCCTGATAAATCCTCAATAATAGTATAACGCTTAAATGCTTGACCTTCCTGTCTGGTTTCAGTGTTTACAGTGTTTCAATTTCCTAGAGAACCAGTAAGCAATCACCAACAATATTTATCTGAAAAAACCATCCACAATAGTAGAACATTTAACTGTGGTTGACTTCTACCACTGGTAGCGGTTTCAGGTGCCTTTAGAGGTGTCCCAGCCCCAGAAAGAATACTCAATGTTGAATGTAACCTCCATCTCAAAACTGTCAACAGTAGTGTAAAACCAAAGCCAGGCTCAGGCAACTCCAGCGGTGCCCAGGGGTACATATTTCAAAATCGCGGAAAAATCTGTCAACATGCTTTCACTTAGTTGAACCATTCCTCTGGTAGCCGGGTCTAAGTATCTCGACCTATTTCCCAGATCCTGGTGGTAGTGCAAGGAGAAGTGTTCTCAGAACATAATCAACAATAATCTAATCTTAAACTCAAAAAAATACCAAAAGTAACCTTCATTCAGTTAGTTCAAACCTTCAAGTAGCCAGGTCCAGGGTGCCCTAGCGTAAATGAATCCAGACCACTCAGATCCTACTGATATTTCTAGAGATAGTGGTTGAGTATCTCAGTATATCATCATAAACAATAAATTAAAAAACCATCTACAATATACAGGGTGGCCCATCCATGTGTGGACGGAATATTACTCATAAACAAATACATTTCGGGAAAATATATTAATGGCATGTTATACATGACATTTGAGGGCACATTTCTAAAATATTGGCATTTATACAGGGTGTCTCAACTTTGACCTACATATCAAAGTTGTGATTTTTTAAATGGAATGCCTCAAATTTTATTGCATATTTGGATAAACCAATTCCCAAAAAAAAAAATGATATGACATACTATGGGGTTTTGGTAATTAGCTACTGAGATGTAAGGTGTTTTGTCCAGAAAAAACGTCCACTTCGGCAACCCCTCAATCCGCCATTTTAAAATTTGGAGTGCTGAATTTTGTATCAAAAAAAACTTACACATCTCAGCTTTTATAGTATTTGTTACTTTTTCGAATTTTCATTTTTGCTCATTCAGGGTGGTCAAAAACGCGAATTGTACTTTTCTCAAAAATTTCAAATGCATCTATATATTTGTACAAGCTTGGATTATATTTTTCATAAGCTTTTTTTTTGGTATAAGGTTTGATTCAGATAAAAACACTAGATTTTGAGTTATTAAGCTTTTAATAGAACAAAACAGCAAAATTAAGGAAAAAAGCACATCGTCCATGGAAACAAAAGAGGGGCTAGTTCCATATTGCCACTAAGAGATTTGATGTAAAAACTAGTAACAATCAGAACAGTATGAATCAGCTTCAAGCGTAATAGAGAAAAACAACTCGAATAACAACATAAACAAACAACAATCACTACTCAAGACCTGATCTACAAAAACTGCTCGGAAATATCTCCACTATGTTGAATACACAGCCGTAGTCTTTGCATAAATGACCGTTGTACATCCCTCAGCATGTGTTCCCTTATGTTCAGAAAAGCATCCTTAATCCTTTCCTTCATATTTTCCGGTGTAGGTGCTGGATATCTATAAACCTCTTGCTTAACGTAGCCCCATAGAAAGAAGTGATCTAGGAGGCCAAGAGATAGGCCCTTCACGATCGATCCAACGATTGTTACTCCAGGTGTCCAAATAGTTACGCACACGATTATGATAATGCGCAGGTGGGACGTCATGTTCCATCCTCCAAAAGCAAAGGCAAATGCTTGACCAAAAAATTCAAGTATTATTTACCTGTTAATCTGTCGTCGAAAAAGAAAGACCCGACAACTTGTCTGCCAATAACTCCTCCCCAAACGTTCAAGCTCCATTTATTTTGGAAGTCGATTTGCCTAACCCAATAAGAGTTTTCCGTCGCATAATAGTAATACTAAACTCCATTCGAGCTGCGAAATTCTGTGGACGAAGGCCTTGATGCAACCATAGGTGATATGGATGGTACCTATGCTTGTGAATAATCCTTTGCACAGAAGTTCTGCATATATCAGTTGCTGCACTTAAATGGGGATTTTCCTGCAACTTTATAGAACCTCCAACTGATTCGCCTCATTGGTGACACTTGGATTATTTATAATTTTTTACAATGTTCCACTGCTCCACTTGATTCAAAACGTTCTCGTAGTGTGGAGAATGTTTCCGGCCTTGTATTCGCATATTAGGGTACCGTTGCTTATACGTAGTCGTGCCATAAGTTCTGTCCCATGATAATCTCATGATAAAAATGAAACATGATAAGATATATTTATATGAAAGATATTATTTATTCGACAACATTTTTAGAATTCATAATCAAACAGTTTTATTCAAAATGTCCCCCCTTGGCCTTCACACACTGCTTCAATCTCGCGGGCCACTCATCTATCACTGCACGCACAGCTTCCAAAGGAATAGCTGCCGCTGATCGGATCAAATCCGCTTTCAGGGACTCGATATTACGGTGGGCTTTGGAGCAGGCCAACTGCTCTAGCAGGTCCCACAACTTGTAGTCTAAAGGATTGAGGTCCGGACTCCCTGAGGGCCAATCTTCCGCAGCAATGAACTCTGGCACATTGCTTTCCAGCCAGCGCTGCGTACTCTTAGCCTTGTGAGCGGGGGCGGAATCCTGCTGGTAGACCCAGTGTTGGTTGGCAAACAATGTACCACTTAAAGGCTTGACGATAGGATCCAGTATGTCGCTCTGATAGTTTGCCGCTTTTGTTTTCACGCCCTGTTTACAGAAATGGAGCTGAGTGACCCCTTCGTAGGACACCCCCCACCAAACCATGACTGACGCAGGGTGGTGGCCTCTCTCAACACTCGGAATGATCTCCGAAGCTTCCTGTGAACTCCTTGCATACACTTTGTCATTTTGTCGGTTGAATTTTTCTTCTATGGTGAAGATTTTCTCATCCGTGAACAAAATCTTTCGGAATCCCCCAGCTGCGTACCTCTCCAAGAGCTTCTTGGATCTTGTCGCCCTGATGTGTCGCAAGGTGGCCGTAAGTCGCTGGCCCGTACGTATCCGGTAAGCCCCTAGCCCTAGGTCTTGTTTAATGATGCGCGACATCGTCCGGACAGGAATCTTCATTTCCCTGGATAGGATCTTCTGCTTCCGGAGTGGATTCCTTTGAATCCTGGCTTTTACGGCTTTGATGGCTGCTGGAGTCCTTACTTGACGAGGTCTTCCGCTTCTTGGCCTGTCATCAACAGAGGACGTCTCATTGTACCGCTGAATGGTCCTAGACACAAATTTACGCGATATTTGAAGGCCGCGTAAGAGTTCAAAAATCTGACTAGCACTATGATTACACTTATGTAAAGCTATCACTGCAATACGGTTCTCTGCCTTGCCCCACTCCATCGTTATGCTTCGAGAGATCAATACAAACTGAGGTATATGTAATTACCCGAAAAGCGCTTAATCAACTGACACCACAATGTAAACAATCGGACAAGTATTAACAGGTCTACACTTGTTTGAAAACGAGGGACAGAACTTATGGCATGACTACGTAAATGCGAGATGCTAGGAAACTATTTCTTTGGGTTTCGCCTAAAACGAACACCATATTCACCATTTCTTCTTTAGAAAAGTTCATTTTCGAACTCGTTTTTATTATAATGCTCACAAGGCTAATCTTGACAGTTTGTAACTAATCAACAATTTATTTGTTTCCAAGGATGATGCGATATTTAAGGGAATTAACCCGTTCCATAAAAGTAATAACCGAAAAAATAGCCGTAAAAACCCGTATGTGTCTAGTATCAAAAAAAAGCTTACAAAAAAGTGAATCCAAACTTGCATAAGTATACAGGGTGATGCATTTGAAATTTTTGAGAAGAACTACAATTTGCGTTTTTGACCACCCTGTATGAGCAAAAATTAAAATTCGAAAAAGTAACAAATAAGGTAAAAGTTGAGGTATAAGTTTTTTTTGATACAAAATTCAGCACTCCAAATTTCAAAATGGCGGACTGAGGGGTTGCCGCATTGGGAGGTTTTTCTAGACAAAACACCTTATATCTCAGTAGCTAATTACCAAAACCCCATAGTATGTCATATCAATTTTTTTCTTTTGAATTGGTTTATTCAAATATGCAATAAAATTTGAGGCATTCCATTTAAAAAATCACAACTTTGAGATGTAGGTCGAAATTGGGACACCCTGTATAAGAAATATGCCCTCAAATGTCATGTATAACATCCCATAAATGTATTTGTTTATGAGTAATATTCCGTCCACACATGGATGGGCCACGCTGTATATTCCTTCATTCGTTAAGGCCCAGGTCCCCCTAATGCAGTGCCTCAGCCGCATTCCAGAAAACCACCAATAATCGGTATCTCAGATAAACCACCAACAATAATGTAACCTTCACTTGGTTGACCGCTACGTCAGGTAGCAGGGTACAAGTCTCTTAGCCAGTTCTCCAGGTCCTGGTGTTAGTTCACCAGGAAATATTTCTGGAGCACCATCAACAATCATATAATCTTCATATAAAAAAAAACTGTCAAAAGTGACCTTCATTCTGTTTGCTCGTAACTTCAGGTAGCCGCGTCCAGGGTGCCTCTATAGGAAGCATTTAAATATCTCTGCATATAATAATAATTATTTATTGGTAACCTTCCACATCATTACGAAATTTAGCTTGACGGCTACTCTTCCACTTAACCATAAATAATAAGAAAAAAACGTCAACAATACTACAACCTTCATTCGTTTGGTTCTAGATCCTTCTAGTGCGGTACCTCAGGTATTTTGGTGACAATACCAGAGCAAGTATTTATATATTACAGAAAACAGTCAACAAACGTTCTCTCAGAAAAACCAACAATAATATAACCTTCATCCGATTAACCCCTACCTGTGACAGGGGGTCCAGGTGCCTAAACCGGTGCCCCAGGTTCTGGTGATAGTGCCGGAGGAAGTATATCTGGCGTCGGCACCTCACTCGTATCACTATCCCCGCGGCACGGCGGCAAGGACGTTGCAAGGTCGAACGGCGTCCGCGATAAACGAAGCGCGCCACACCGCTCCGCGAATGAGCAGCTGTTGTAGTCGAAACCGAGGCTTGGGCCCCACTACTCGACGATCCGCGCTTCTATCTCAACGGAGAACGGCGGCCGGCTGCGGGAGTTGCGCTCCGAGGAGTTATTTTCGGCCGGCCGGCGGACGGGGGAAGTTTCGGGGAGATTTTAGGACGCGATGCCGGAAAAGCCGGTCATACACTGGCAGATTTTACCTCACTCCATCTGGAAGGCAGCCCAGTATAGAGGGTGTCCAGAAGACTGGGACTTTCCTTCTCAGTAAACTACGTTTACAATACCAAAGGTAACAATACCTAAAACGTAAAAAAGAAATTGAAGAAACATACTCGCTATTCATTTGGTAAGGAATTTCAACTACTGCCCTATCTGCCCTGTTTGTAAGCACTACTTGAAGTTCTGGCTGTTCGATTCAATATCTCTTCCTGAATTTGCAACATTTGGGACTGTCTAAGTCTTCCTCCAGACACGGCTTTTCACGATATAAACAAACATATGCAGCTCTGATAGAAAGAAACATCGAGGACGACGGCGACGTTCCAAGTACTCTCTCGGAGAAACAATAGGATCTTGAAGATGCTCACATCAAATCTATAACTACGTTATTGCTCTAGGAATGTGTTAATTTCGGTTTTTCAAATGCGGTTTGTTTATAAAATAGGTCAACCTAGACACCACGCGACGCCTGGTTTGGATACAGACTCACACAGTCTTAGTACATCAAACGTTTTGACGTAGGAGGGGATTGTGGAAGGCGAGGGTGGCAATATCATACAATAGGTTCATTTGTTGCTTTCTGGAACCTAATATCTCGGTTATCTTAAAGCTTTAGTTTATATGTTACTAAAAAACATGCTTACCATTGCCTTACCTATACGCTTTGTAAAGGAAAGTCCCAACTTTGAAGTGCAGGTGAAAATACTTGTGATTCTACTTTTTATGTATCCCAGTCAGATGTGGCATAAGCCTACATGCTCTATAGAATAGGAGATAATCCCTGAAAATCACAGTCCACCAATGGCCCTGGATTTCAAGAAAACTTGAATCGGACTGAAGAACGCATAACCTTGTCTCGGTTCTTTCGTCACTTTTTGGTCTATACCGGGTTCGCACTCCCATTTGTGACTCTCCTGGTATATTTTGGGAAAAACGCTCGGACACGTCAATTTTTATTTCTAGGGGGACTTTTTACATCTATATCCGTACAATACAGGATGATGCAAAAATAAGATATTGCGTTTAGATTTTTAAATGGAAACCCGCATTTTTTTTAATTTTTAGATTTTCCATGAAGTTTTTAGTAACTTTTGTGAAGCTATTTGAGTTTATAATAAAATTCGACGAACTCTACGGAATACTGATAATGGAATGCACGGCAAAAAAATAATAATCATGGATACCAGCAAGAACATTTAGCATCAGTCAGTGTCATCGTATACCATAGAAAAACTTTGTCTTTCATTTCAAGTTGTTAAGTTACCTACCTAGTTGTGATAAACATTGAACAATGGCTTATTCAATTCAAGAAAGTGTAGAAATAAGAAAACTGTATTACCAAAATAGGAGCATTGCAAGAGCTACTGCCCGGTTGTTTAATGGGTTACATCCAGACAAAAATATTAACGATAAAGATGTGGCTAAGTTGATGAGAAAATTTGAATAAACTGGATCTGAGTCTAATATTCGCCGTAATCGCCATCGAGAAAATCGACCAGTAGATTTAGGACACGTAGCACTTGAAACACCCAAACCACTCGTGGACTTGCTACTTCTTCAGGATTTACACGCTCTTTATTCCTGGGAACTTGACATGCGAGACATACTTGGATATGTTAGAAAATACAATAGAGCCATGAATTACCGAAATAATAGAAAATGACGTTAATTGATTATAATGATAATTACATGAATTTCCAACAAGATGCATTATGTGGCTCCAGGACGACAGTTTTTGGATACCCATTTCCCGAATCAGTGGATCGGCGGACGAGACCTCATCGTGTGGCCGTCGAGATCTCTGGACCTAAGTCCTTTAGATTACTTTCTTTGGGGGCATTTGAAAAGTAAAATGTTTAGTTCGAAGCCAGATTCCATTCAAGATCTACGTCAGCGGATTACGGCTGAATGTAGACAAATAATTGCAGCCATGCTTGAAAATGTGGGGAATAGATTCGAACAAAATCTTTATTATTGCATAAAGTTAAATGAACACCACTTTCAGCACTTATTACCACATTGGCCTACCTCTTAACAGTAAATTATGTGACAATAGCGTGTAAACAGTAAGTTGTTTTTGTTTTTTAATACTCGGAGACTTGTTTTTAATTTTAAAGTAAAGTCTTGTTACTATGGGAACTATATTGGTTATTATTTTTACGATATCTCTAATTATCACAATTTATAGAATTTGATTAGAAACTCAAATAGCTTCACAATGATTGAAGATAGGTATAAGCTTTATTATACAAAAGTTACCAAAAACTTCATGGAGAATCAAAAAATTGAAAAAGAAGGTTTCCATTTAAACATCTAAAATGTAACTCAATCTTATTTATGGATCACCCTGTATTGTACGGCTACAGATGAAAAGACGACTCCCTAGAAATCAAAATTGACTTTTCTGAGCCTTTCTCCCAAAATGTACCAGGAGAAACTTAATCCATCTAAATCTTCAGTTATGGTTTTCGGCTCAAAAAATAAAAGAACATCGATCGAAATGGAAATTAACCTTAAAATCTATGATAGCCGGCTTCCTATATTAAATGAGTTTAAAAAGCTGGGACTCTGGATTGACATAGAATTAAAATACAAAAAACATGTAAATTCGTTATGTAGTTTGTAGTGCGTCATGCTTTGAAGCAGTTTTATCCGCATAGGCAAATAATGTCTACTTCACTAAAGCTGAAACTGTATAAAACATTAATTATGTCAAAGATCAGTTATTGTGACACTATATATATGGCCCCGCTCTATCATATAATGAACAAGGCAAATTACAGCGTATTCAGAATGCGTGCTTCAGAGTTTCTTGCGGAATACGAAAGTTTGATTATATTTCTTATAAATTTAAGGAACTTGGTATTCTGCAAATTAAAGGCATGCAAAAACTCCAGTATTGACACTCACGCATAAGGTGTTAGCTACCAAACAACCACGATATTTGCATAAAAAGTTAGCACGATGTAGTGACATAAATCAACTGAATACAAGGAATAGAAATATGTTAGTGATACCCTTACATTCTAAAGATGTTTACAAAAAATCATTTAGCTATTAAATTATATAATGATCTGCCTACCACATTCCAAAATTACTCAATATTTAATTTTAAAAAGAGGCTTAAAGTAAAACTACACGCCTAGATCTGATGATGAACACAAAATGCTGGAAATATGGACTATTCGTGTAATTGATTCTATTTTTTGTGTGTTGTTAATTAGTTATTATTGAGAATTACGCATTCATTTCTAATAGTTGAATGTTTTATTATATTATTATTTTCTTGTTGTGTGAATTTGAACACTTACTTAATACCGCTTCCAAGTGTATGGTTGCCTATAAACGCCGACAATCCTTATTATCGCACCACCTAAACCCTCAACCTTTAACATTTACTTCTTTGAGTAAAGCCGCGGATGAATTCTGAAATTGCAAGGATCTCCCTGTTTCCCTTACGATCCACAGTTACACCCCTCTTCGCGTGGGAGTTGTCACGTGCATATAAAAGTCGATGGGAAAGGACCAAAGCGTCATTGAGATACTGCAGCTGACTTCTTAAGGTGACCTGAAGGTTAAAGGGATGTTAATTCCTCCCTGTTCCTACTGAAAGTGTTTTCACGATATGTCCAATCTTATGGAAATTCGTATTTTTCGACAAGTGTTAATGTTTATTTGACTTATGCTGTATACATATAAACCGTAAAATTTTGTACTCAATAAAAAGATAACGTAACAAAAACAACAAGAAATCAAACATAGGTAATTCACAAAATGAGATAGATCTTTTCTTGGGATCCTGGGATTTTTAAAAATGGTGAATGTGTACATATAAGTGTAGTCATATTCGAGTAACAGTTTTACAATTTAGAAATACTAGTTTCTGGTATTTTATATTTCTTGATGGTTCAACATAAATTAGGATGGACGTATGGTTAAGTCAAGTTATTCTGGGTCGTCACAGCGGTCCGTAGGCTGTTGCGTCAGAGGCAAGTAAAATCGTGGAAGGAAACAATGAAGAGTAAAGAGCAAGAATAAACTTATGATGACTAACACATAAACAATAAATTTTTATTAAATAAATCAAAATAAGATAGTGAAAGTTTTTTCAGTTAACATATCAACGTCAGTAGACGACTGGTAAAACCGTATTTTAGTGGAATATTTCACAATTTTAATACCTCAGTAAAGTGCGAGCTCTCTTGATGTATGGAGCTCGATGAAGTTGAAATGAGTAGCAGAATGAGCTTGGCAAGTACTTCTAGCAAACGAAATCATAGTGGGGAGTTTAGAAGAAGACATTTAGCCGTATTCATAGAGTATAAATAACGGGGTATATAATCATGAGAAAAATGAAACAGAAACTCGCCACATTTTTAAAGTATGTATTTATGCTATATATCTATATAATATATGTACATATACGCATACAAAAACATAAATGCTTCAATACATGGTACGAGAATTTAAAAAAAAACATTATTCTTTAGCTTGTTGAAAAAAGTTTAAAATGTTTGTCTGACGAAATTTCACCATCTTTTGCTGAAGGAGACAAATTTCGTAATAACTTTCTAAATTTTTCAAATGTTGAAATGCAGTGAAATCATCTTTAGCAAATTTTTTCAATATAGAAATATTATTTAGAGCTTCCCCATATGAATTTATCGTTTTTGAACCGCTTAGTGAGTCCACCAGTTCCACTTCTTCTTCTGAGTCGTTTGGACTACCATATTCAAGTTGGCCAGGGCTTTCTACATCCAAATTCGAAAAGTTGCCAATGGCATTTTCTTCTGTTGTTATGTTATTGTCTATGGCCAGGAAATCATCTACTTTCTGGGGATCTACTACTCCTAAATGTTTGGCATGTCGCAGTAACTGAGCAAGTGTCGCTAAGGGCAGATCGTCTTCAGCATCGCAATAATTTTGCTCAGCAAATTCTGAGCTACATTCACTTTTCTGAATCCAGCTTTGCCAAAACAGTTTTTAATTGTAGAGGAATTTACTTTATTCCATGCTGTTTTTATAAAATACAAAGCTTCTAACACATTGATAGACTTTGTAAGCTCAGATAAGCTTTGACCATCGTCAATTTTTGTTAAAACAT